TATCATAGTAAAAATAAATAAATAAGCCATTAGAAATGTTTGATGAGGCACATAATGATGGGCCTCGATTGAGAGGATGTTCTGATTCCTCCATACTGGCTAGTTTTCAAAGTACTATGCAGGCTGCTAAGGGGAAAAAAAATCATCAAGAGTTTTACCCAGCTGTGAACCCTGTGAACTACAACGATAACTGGTCTGACAAGACATGTCCATGGAGCACTAGTGACATAAAATGAGGTAGTAGCCAACCACTTTTTAAAAAATTCGATTTAAGGAGCAAACACAAGTCTGGTACAGTAAACCTGGCTAAGAATCCGTGGCTGGGGAGTTCATAGATCCCAGGAGTGAATCTACTACTATAGTGGTTAATGTAGAAGTTCACAACTGGTCAAAGTATAGAGAATGTCTATGGTGCGCTCAGCCATAAGTGCGACACCTATATCACACCCTTTCCCCACAAGGCTCAGGGACCATTGCAGTGGAGACACTGGGAAGGCCATGAACTGCATAGATTCTGTTGTCAAGTTGATAGACTTGGGAAGAGGAAACTTCAATTGGGGAATTGCTTCTATTAGATTTGCTTTCTGGGTATGTCTGTGCCCCATGTTCTTGATTGTTGAGTGATGTGGGAGGGCCCATCCCAGTGTGGGCAGTGTTGCCCCGAGCAGGAGATCCTGTGTTGGATAAGAGAAGGCTGAGCACAGGCCGGAGGAGCAAGTCCGTAAGCAGCATACCTCTATGGTCTGTGCTCCAGGTTCCTGTGCTGAGCTCCTGACCTGAGCTCCTGCCGACTTCCCTGAGTGGCAAACTGTGACCTGGGAGATGTAAGATAAAATAAGCCCCTCTTCTCCAAGTTGGTTTTGGTCAGTGTTTTCATCACAGCAATAGAAAGCTAACTAAGAGCCAGAGGTCTAGGAAGACCAGAGAGAAACAGGGTCTTAAGGACATGATGGAAGCACTGCACTCATGAATTCACAGCAACTGTGGTTGACTGCACAACATAAAGTCATCATTCTAGCATGGAGCGGGAAGGGGTCTGTGAGTCCCCACACCTAACTGAGGAACTATGGACAGCTGATGGCTCTTAGGAGAGGGTCACTTTTCTTTAAGGATGTAGGCCCCAGTAGGTGAACCACACTCCAGTGAATGGCCCCACACCCAGGAGTATATGGGCAGCATAAATTTTATTCAGTGAGTTATTAAAAATGAAAGAAAGAAAAGAGAACACAAAATGGGAGGGTTAGGGGAGAGGAGGTGGATGTGGGAGGAGTCCAGGGGAGGAGTCTGGGGAAGAGTGATTGAAATACATTGTATGAAATTCGCAAAGACCAGGCCTTGCAGTGTCACACACCACACCCCTGTGCTTCAGAAAACACCACGACTGCCCAATTTGTTGGATAAGCAAGGCCTACATAACAGAAAACTGTGTCCCTATGTCAGGAATCTTTCACTGGTGTCTGAAATGAAGGTCCAGTTTTATTTTTAAGACTCTAGTTTATTGTACGTTTAATTTGCTGAGTACATATGACCTGGTTCTGTGGTAAAATACACATCATCAAATTAGCTTTCTCTTTTTTTTTTGTCTTTTTGAAGCAGGGTCTCCTTGCTCCCTGTAGCCCCAGCTGGCCTGGAACTCACAAAGATCCGCCTGCCTCTGCCTCCCAAGTGCTGGGATTAAAGGTGTGCGCCACCACGCCTGGCTATCTTTCTCCTTTTTATATCTGTTTGTTTTACAATAATCTATAGACAAAAGATCTTTGTGTTTTCTTTATCAACCAACATATCAACATTCATGAGGCATTACATCCAGGCATTATATCTAATATGTTATAAGCAACAATCAAAAAGAGCCAGCTACAGACGGGTGGCTGTAAATTTCTCACCTACGAAGGAGCTGCTGGGGCCAGGGTGACCGCTATTCTGCATGTAACCTATGCCATTTGAGACCAAGACTCATTTTGTCCACATTAGTTATGTAGGGAGGGATGGCAACCCAAGAATGAACAAACTGAACTCTGATAAAGATGCTTTCCAGTTAAAGGTTGAGCAAACGCCTCGGGGGAGGAGCTGGTGCCATACAGCACTCCATCCAAAGCCTCTCCATCAATTTCCACCCAACCCCTGTATTCTCGAGAATATAAAATCCTTTTCTTAACTAGCCTGGGGATTTTCTTGAAGGGGAGCTGCATTAAATTTCTTTAGCAATCTTGTTCTAAGTGACAGGCATACATGATTTAAATACCTCTAAATGGAGAATTTCCATATGGGTTTGGCCTAAATATCAGACACTGATAAAAATTACTGTGAAGAAAAGAACCTGGGTAGATTTTGCAGTTCTCTACTCAACACATCAATTGCTGGCAGGAGAGGCTGCTTAGAGCAAGCTGTCCCTTGTGCTCAGTAGAAGTTTATGTCTGCGTGTCTCAGGGGCCGGAATCTTCGGCTTTGATAGCATGATGGATTGTAAACAGAACAGGCCAGGACAAACACAACAGTGTGAAACTGAACAATCAGAAGTTCTCTGAGGCTTCATTTGCATGCAACGTTCTTTCCTTTTGGTATGATAAGAATAAAGTTTGCATAGCTTGTCACTAGAAAATAAGAACAATAATAGCGAGGAGGTGGTCTTTGCAACAGCACGAGCTATCGCCAAGGCCATGCTGAGGGCTCCGTGAGTGTTAGTTTGCGAATTGGTTGGTTCATACCCTGATTTTAGTGCCTACGTGTGGCTCTGCAGGATAGCCTTGCAAGTGAGCTCTCTTATATGTGCTGGGCTTGTCAACTTTGGTGTCAGAAGGTAGATTGGTAGTAGTAGATTGGGGGTCTGGAGGGAGGAATGGGGAGGCATGGTCTATCAGAGTTCCAGGGTTTTTAATATTTTATTATTTTTATTTTATGTGCATGAGTATATGCCTGCATGTATGTGAGTGCACCTGTGTCATGCAATGCCGTGGAGGTCAGAAAAGGGCTTCAGATTCCCCTGGAACTGGAGTTAAGGCCGGTTCGTAGCTGCCATGTGGGTGCTGGGAATCGAACCTGGGTCCTCTGCAAGAGCAGTCAGTGCTCTTAACCACTGAGCCATCTCTCCAGCCTTGAAGTCTCAGTTTTATATGATGAGAAAGAGTTTTAGAGGCGTGTCTGTACAGCAGGGTGAGTGTATCAATGCCACTGAACTGTGTATTTCATCATTATTAATTAATTCGTTAATATTTATATGTATGTCTGTGTGTGTATGCACATGCGTGTACTGTAGTATGCATGTGGAGGACAGAGGGACATGTTGCTGGAGTTGGTTCTCTCATCCCATCATGTGGGTCCTGGAGAACTCTGGTCATCGGGCTTGGCAGCAAGTACTTTTACCTGCTGAGTCACCTAGCTAGCCCTAAAGGTGGCTTTTGTGGTAAGTTTTATAGTGTGTGCATTTTTCTACAATAAAAGTTTTTTAAAAAGGATAATGTGCTTCCTGTTCCACAGGGCAGCCACAGGAAGAATGGGACAGGTGGCTGTTTTCAGAAGTACTTAAACAACACTTCCCCAAAAGTAATAAGCCTTGGGCTGGAGAGACAGCGCAGCAATTACGAGCACTGGCTGTTCTTGTAGAGGACCAGAGCTCCGTTCCCAGCACCCACATGGTGGCTAACAACCACCCTATAACTCCAGTTCCAGGGGCTCCAACAGCCTCTTCTGGCCTGCGCAGGCATCACACACACATGATGCATTTACAAACATGCAGGCAAAGCACCCACACACATAACATAAAGTAAGATCTTTAAAAAAGTAACAAACATAAATAAACTTGCTCTGAAAAACAAGAATAAAAAGGTGACAGTCAGTCATCACGTACGCCTGATGGTGACAGTCAGCTCTGTGGGGCAGTGGAGGGGCTGAGACACCTTAGAGGACCAAATGCTCGCGAAGTTTTACAACTTGACCTACACCCTCCTGGCAATGCTCTCCAAAGCAAGGACAGTTTCCTCAGTAACTACAAGGCCTCGGCTGCCATATAGGGAGCTCCAGTTGCAATGTCTTACAGAGCCTCTTGTTTCAAAGATGCATCTTCAGAAGTACTAAGCAATCCTAGGGTGCTGTGGTCTCCCTGTGAGGTGCCCATCCCTCCCTCTCTTCCCTGAGCTGCCGAGCTCACTCACCCATCGGAGCCTGGCCTGGAAGGGGTGCTATCGGAGGAGAGGGAAGAGACGGAAGCCACAGACAGAGGCCGGGACGATGATGGCATGGTGAAGGACCGCACCATGGAGCGGGGACGGCTGCCTCTCCTGTCGTCCAGGCCTGAGGGCTGAGAGAAGAGAGAAGTGTGTGACACCATGCCACCTTGGCCAGCCTCCTGTGAGGGGCGGAGTCCACAAGAACAGTTTCCCTCCTTGTTCTGAGCTGAGAGCAAAAGTAACAATTTCAGGGTCTTCTGAAACCCAACTCCACCTAAGAAAAATACTAGAAGGAACCTTCTTGCCTTTCTAAGTGTAGTTTTCCTCTCCGGGAGCATGACACAGCACCCTTCTCCACAGTAGTTATTCACCAGGAAATTTAACGTGGAGAACCGTCTGGAATGTGAGGAAAGAACATGAAATGTCTTTAGATGACCTTTGCACATCTGTACATAACAGGCCAGGGAGCAGGAAGTGCTGAAATCCTTTCAGTACACAAAGCACCTCCCACCACACTAGGTCCCCTCCCCAGAGTGACTGTGGGATGAAGGGGAGCCTTGGCCAGGCTGCGGGGTCTCCCTTCCCCAAGCAGAAGACTGGGAACCAATGACACATTCCGAGAAAGTGTTCTCTAGGTGGAGTTTTCCATTCTCTCTTTGACAGTTTGCTGTGCATTTATCTAAACAAGTGTTACGGAAGTACAGCACGTGTCTACAGCTCATCAGCCAGGAAACGCCAGCATACCTGCACCCTAGCCAGATGTTGGCACATCTGGACTGCAGCTGCAATTTCCTCGGATCGGAGGATGCAGAAACCACATTCCTGTGGGTCACACCCTTGAGTCGCTTCTCCTTCCCTGACTCCAGCCCACCACGCTGTCTTGTTATGTACCAGATCACGTCACCTACAGGACAGCTGCTATGGACCACAGTCCCAGCTCTTGGAGGTAGGAAGGTGCTTATTACCTATTTAGGGCCCCTGATGAAATAATCTCAATATGCCATGTGCAGCCGAGACAGCCACGGATGATGCAGAAGGGAAGGCATCTACGTTCCAATGAAAACTTTATTCACAAAACAAGGGGCCTAGTCCTAGTGTGCAGACCATCGGCTCAAAGCACTCAGCAGCAGTGTGCCTGGCTCTGTGTGCCCCGTTCCTGAGAGCATCTGAAATGTGGGTTGCCATGCATTCTGATGTGGTGGTAGAAGACATGGGCACTAAGAACAGGTGCACAGAGGGAGGCAGTAGGGGCAGGGGATGGAAATGCCAGGTCAGGCACCCTCAGCTCTTAAGAGGACAGGAAGTGGCTCATGTCTCTTGTCAACCAGCAAGGACTGGCAAGGCCCCTTGGAAGATACCCTCGATTCTTGGGCGGGATGTATGACCCTGCCTTGGGATGTATAAAGGAAGGAGAAAAACAGGAGCGGGCTCTGGCCAATGAGGGGCAGGAGCTTCTTGTTGGAGACCTGTATTTGCAGGGGGCCCAGAGGGGTGCTGTAGACTCTGCTGGGCACCCCTTCTTGATTGGGCAGAGCCTCAGAGTTAAAAAACTAAGACCTTTATTTGTTTTATCTGAAGCGATTGGAATCTCACCTAGTACTGACAGGTAGCTCAGGGCCAGGATACCAGGAGTGCTCTGCCTGTTCCAGCTACAGGGCCAGCCGGTTAGGACTGGGATGTGAGAACAGGCTAGGTCTTACGTCCTGGCACTGATGGTATGATCGTGTAAAAAAAAAAAACAAGGAAGCACTGTTTAGCCTCTGCTTCCTCCTGGAAATTCAGGGAACCATCTCCCCCGACCAGGGTCCTGCGTGAGGGTAAAGAATGAATGCAGGTGAGGTCTGTAAGGCTTGGCACAGCTGATGGCAGCTTCTGATGCTCTTGTTGCTGGTGCCTTGATATCCTGACAGGAAATCCATTTCAGCTCTTCCAGTCAGAGTGACCTGGCCCTTCCCAGCGCCTCTGTGCCTTGCATCTGTCTCCTGGCTGAGGTAAAATGCCTTCATCATGGGTGTTGACTCAGACTCATGGATGGGAGGGGTAGATCGGCTGAATTAAATCAAGGTGACCAGCGCTTCATGAGGAAGGGGGAGGAGCAGATACGTTTTATAGTCAAATGACAGCTGAGGATTGGAGACTCAGAGAGCAACATGCTGCCCCTGGAGGCGGGGGGCTAGGCCTGAGGCCAGGAGGGGAAGCTGATCTCAAGCAGGGGCCAGGTCAGGATGTGCTACTACATAAAGGCAGCAGGTATACCCCAGCACTGCCCATGAGATGCCACCGGGATGTCTGTGAGGGGTGAAGAGTGACTGGACTCTAGAGCTGATGGGGTGGTACACAGGCATGCTGGGTTGTGGGATGGAGGGCACGTCACAAGGAGCTAACAGGGTGTGTCTGCAGATATGCCTAGAGGTCCAACCAACACCTGGTCTGAATGGTGCTTTGGCGCATGGGTGGATCAGAAGGGCAGAGCCAGGCAAGGATCCCTGGTCCTCACCAGACTTGGAGAGGAAGAGACGGAGGGGGATGAGAAACAGAAAAGATTTTCATGAGTGTGGTGGCGAAAGCAACTGGCCATGTGCTGTCATCAGTGAAGTCGGGGACCAGTGCTTGCTGCCTCTGTCCCATGTCCTTGGGGTCCTGTGAATACTCATCCAGGGAACAGGGTGTCCTTGGAGCTCCTGCGTCGACAAAGCGGGAGTGAAGAGGACTGAGCCGGAGAGGAGAGGCCCTTGCATTACGCAGTCCCAGGGAGTCCAGATCGCCTTCCCTTTCCGGGAGCTTAGGTTGGCTCAGAAATATTGACAAAATTGTTTATGTCCTTTCCGTGGAATTTTTATTTCTAAACCCATCCTTTTGGAAAGAGGAATATTGCTTTTCGAAGTATTCTGAGACGCTTGCAACTTTCCAAAGCAGGTAAGACAGGGAAGGCCCCTCCCAGACTGCCTTTATTACCCACATTTCCCTCAGAGTGACAGGCCTGTCTCCTCAGAACGTCTGGCTGTAGAGCCTCAGTTGGGGCCTCAGGATAGAGTACGATTCTGGAAGGTTGCTTCCCTGGTCAAACTACCCAAGGGTAGAATTGTGCCCCGAATTCTATCTCCAGATTGCCCTCTACAACTCTCACTACCCCTGGCTGGGAGGTCTTTCTGTCAAAAGAGGCATAAGGTTTGGAGAGGATGATGCAGAAATGGCTTGTTTTTAGCCAAGGACAAGTGCTGAGGAGAGGAAATCTGTCTTGGAAGAAAAGTCACCCCCCACCTTCACAAGCCCCTCCCCACCTGCACAACCTCCCTTCCTGCCCTAGCTCTCTCCCCCAACTGTGCCCTACAGCGAGCTTCCTCAGTGATAAGCTGTCAGAGTAGATCAGGGCTGTATAAAACGGGAGGCAAACCTGATAGGTTTCTGTAATTTTGAAAGCTGCATTAAATGATTGATAAATCAGGAAGCTTTGCACTTAGTTAAAAACTTGAAGCCTGTGCAAGTGTCTAATTCTTAGAATTCAGGCAGCATAGAACTTTGGAAGAGCCGCCCTTCTGACATACCTGGAAATGTTTTGCCACTTGGCTCTGATTGTAACTAGCTACGGGCTCCACTGCTCAAAGCTTCTGAATTGCATGAGGGTCCTCCAGAGCATTCAGAGGAAGGCACCCTGCACCTCAGACTGTTTACCTGCAGTGGCTCCTGCTGGGCTGTCAGTCCCTGCTTCCACCTGCTGGGATTGCAGAGCAGAGAGCCCTGATCACTTTCAGCTCTGTCGGGCCCATGACAAAGCATGAGTCCTGGGCTTAGAGATGGGGCTAGGCCTGAAGCCTTGCTCAGCAGGGGCATCCTTGAAAATCAAAGCTGTCACTCTCCAGCTGCAGCCTAGAAACTTTCCAGGAACTCATCCCCAAATGAGTTCAGCCCATGTCCTGAGCACAGCCTGCTGCCTGAGTGGTGCTCTTGAAGTGGCTTGCCTGTCTAACTGTTCCCCTTGGGGCTCTTCTGTCCAACCCATGCCTTCCGTCTGCCCCAGGCTCTGGCCTGCTATTCAAATCCCTGTCTCCCAGCCTGGGTCTTTTCTACCTTCTTAAAAAGATGTCTTTGGCAACAATTTTGAACACAGTAAACCATCCCTTTTCTCTTCCTGGCCATAGTTCCTGCATAAATGTGTATGTATGTGGACATGCACGTTCATGTGTATAGATACTTGTGTATGGAGGTCACAGCAACCTCTCATTTGCCTTGGGCTTTACAAGTTGGCTGCGCTGGCTGGCCAGTGAGCTCTAAGGCTTGTCTCTAGTGTCCCCAGCACTGTGATTACAAGTGTGTGTCACCAAGCCTGGATTTACTGAGCTCTCTCCCCAGCTCTCCCAGTCCCCGATGGTTCTTAGGCTTCCATCTTGATTTCACTCTGCTTTGGGATCTAGTAAGTACTATTGCCTTGAGGGTTATGTGGCTTAATGTGTGTGGCAGGCTTGCAGGTGTGGGCTCTGTCAGCCAAGAGAGTCCCAAGAACTCTGAACTCTGTGAAACTTTTCCATGGCTCCCCAACTCCAAGGGCACACTGTTCAAAGCAGATGACTGAGGTATTTGGCAATAAACGAATCCTAGGTCTGAAACAAGTTGACGGGTTAGGCAACTAATGGGCTGATGTCAGGGAGCAGGCTAAGCTCCCGCAAATCTCACTTCCGAAGCAGGCATCATGTGCTCCTCAGCCTCTCTGCTCTGTGAGCCTGACCCAAAGAGACACCCCTTCTGTGACCCGTCACCTACCATGGTCCTGACGCCGTACTGTTTCTCTACTTTTTCCTTCAGCTGCCTAAAGCAGGCTTCCATGCGCTCATGGAAAGGCCTCAGGGCCTCGGTGATTTTGTCCCCATGGATCCTGATCCCTTCAGCCAGAAATGGAATCTGAAACACAGAGGTTAGAGCTCCTGATTTCTCAGGTAACGGTGCAGAGAGAGCACTCCACAGCAGGGGGACAGTGACAGAGGCTCAGATGCACCTGTTTTTGTTTGCAAATCAAAATGACTGATTAAACTCATCAGCAGACGGGTTATTCCCAGAGATGGAAATGCTTAAATGAAAACCAACTGGGTCCTGAAATGGTTGTGTTCAGGATGAGGGCTCCCCACATGTGGATACTCTGCTACTTTTTAGGGGGTCCTGTTGCCCAATCAGCCCCAGAACGGGCTAACCTGTGCTCCCCACTGGCATTTGGGAAGCACTGTATTTTGAGTATGTTCATAGGTACCTTGTTCCGGTAGCAAAGGGTCACATTACAACACAACAGCTTGCAGTGAGAATATTGCCTTTTCGCGCAACTGAGACGCCTATCCCAAAACGTACCAATCTAATTATACGTGAGCTACAGTCTTGACGGATTTTCTGATTTGGAAAGAAAAACTAAATTTATTCTTCCTTAGAACTAAAAATAATCACCCCTCTGCTGACACCACTGTCATAAGATATCCATGCCAACACTTCACTTCCAAGAGCAGAAATGACACTGACCTTTAAAATCGTCACACAAGACATTTTTCACTCTCCCAGAAGCAAAGACCCTGGACAGCTTGGGGGTGGGGGGCAGCTTCCAGTCTGTCCCTGGTCTCTGCTTGCCCCAGTGCCCAGACTGGAAGTCAGGCATTTTTCAATGCAATCAAACTGAGAGGCTTCCTCTTAATAATTTATAATTAAATAAAAATACTGATTAAAAACAGATTTTCCTAATAGGATAGGATACCAATCTGAACCAGCAGATTTATTAGTAAGAGGGATACTAAGTGCACGATTGAATTTCATATGAACAAATTCAAGCAATCTTATCAAGACGAATCAACTGATGAGCTTCCTTTTATAGCACACAGTTGCCTCCTCCCTTAGAACTCCAGGAAAGGATGGGTATGGAGCATCCCTGTGTTCAAAGCACCCAGCCTGCTCTCAGGAGGCACTGGTACAAAGGTTTGCTTTGCTGATAGGTGGGCCTAAATTGTTACCCATTTCTGGCCACTAATCAGAAAAAGGCTTGTGTGAAGGTGGGTGTTTTCATATTCGGAATGAATTTCCCATGCAGATCACAGCTTCCCTCCTGGGGTTGGCCACTGTACACTCAGGACTAGCCTTAGAAATACTCACTCTGGGGAAGAGGGCAGGGGCTGGACAGATGGCTCAGCAGTTAAGAGCACTGGCTATTCTTGCAGAAGACCAGAGTTCAAATCCTAGCACCTACAAGGCAGCTAACAACTGTCCTTAACTCCAGTTCCAGGGGATCTGAAACCCTCCTTAGTCCTCCACAGGCGCTGCACGACACAGGTGCACTTACACACATGCAGGCATAAAACTCATACATATTAAAAAAAAATTTTAGGGGCTGGAGAGATAGTGCAGCGGTTAAGAGCTGACTGCTCTTGCAGAGGACCGGGGATCGATTCCCAGCACCCACATGGCAGCTACGAACCATCCTTAACTCCAGTTCCAGGGGAATCCGAAGTCCTCTCTGACCTCCATGGCACTGCATGACACGGGTGCACTCACATACATGCAGGCGATACACTCGTACACATAAAAAAAAGAAATTTAAAAAGGAAATGCTCATTCCCGTTCCTGAGTTCTGGTCCAGGGTCATGACATAGGTTCCCTGGCATATCTTTTGGGGGGCGGGGCGGGGATGGCATATGTAGTCTGTGGGGGCGGAAAGGCAAGAATGTGTGGGAACACTGCCTCAAAGTGAAAACGTAGCCATCCTAGACCCCTAGAGCATTTCTGATTTAGAAAGGCCATTCTCAAATGTGCAAAATGAAACCTGTTGTTAGAGTGCTGATGGCGGTGGTGGTTGGGGTGATAACACTAACCCGTCAGGTTCTTCACATCAAAGAGGCTCCTTGCTGGGTAAGAGTTCAGACCCTTATGCCTGGGGACTGATGGAGCCACAGACTGGCAGGTAAAGCTTACAAGGTGCGAGGACTTTTCACTTTCCGTAATCCCCCACAGCGATCAGATAAACCTTCTTATGGAATAGGATCTGGCCCCTGGTTCTACGTCTGTCTGGGGCTGAGCTGCAGCTGAGATTCTAAACAGAAGGATATAAATAAATAGCTGTTGTGTGCGGCACACTCCAATGAGAGAGGGGCTTTAATATAAAGAGAAACCGGAGACCTGGGGCCTGTGATGGTCTTTGGAGGTCTCGGTTCTGTGTGTTGACAACCTCCCAGGCAGATTCCCAACTCCATTCAGGTTTGGTGCAGCTGCCTCGTAGCTTTATTAATTAATTAATTAATTAATTAATTATTTTGGTCTTTTAGAGACAGGGACTCCCTGTAGCCCCAGCTGGCCTGGAACTCACTATGTAGACCAGGCTAGCCTTGAACTCACAGAGATCCACCTGCCTCTTCTTCCCAGTGCTGGGATCAAAGGTGTGTGGTCGCCACCGTGCCTGGCCAATTGCCTCACAGATTTATCTACTAGGAGTGCACTTTGAAATCTGCATTCCTAAAGAGCCCAGTCTCTAGAAGGGAGGGGTACATCTCAGTAGTTGAAAGTGAGCCTTTGGCCTACTCTCGAAGGATGCATTCCTCACACAGGGTGCCGCTCCTGTGTGTGCCCTGCAAAGGGGCAAGCCTTGCCAGCAGCAGGGAACTTTTGACAGCTCAGCATGGTGCCCCCAGAGCACCAGCCCCACTGAAAGTGTGGCGCCTGTCAGGGGCTGGGGATGATGAGTGAGCACGGTTTCTCATCTTAGTACATTTCAAAGGAGAAACATGTACGTCTCACAGGAGTTTAATAGGAGGCAGTGTAGACTCGTCTTTGAACACTCTGTAGGAATCAGCAATAACCACAGGGAAAACAGAGCTGTGCCTTTGGCTCAGGACTGTCAACTACAAAGCTGGCAAGGTTCCGGGCAGCCTGCATGATGCCCAGCCTCCAGCTGCTGAGAGGCAGGTCCATACCATCTTCTCCTTCGGCCAGCCTCACCGGACCGGAGGCACTGGAGACAGACTTACACCTGTGATGTAATTCTGCCAGCAAGCCCTGGGACTCTTCCCCAGAGGAAACTCTGCTCTACCTAGATAGAGTTTCTTAAGAAACTTAAACTGAATAAACTAACGTGCAAAATAAGAAGAACCCTCAAGTTTTCATTTCTTAATGAACATGCAACTCAGTTACCAGCATGAAGATTCCAAACCTTTGCAAATGGGAACAAAATCCCAGGTAATGTTTTGAATATGTATTTTCTCCCTTGTTCTTTGATTTAATGAAGTTGTTAGGAAACAGATCCTTTCTTTCAACTTTCCCATGAGCTGTTCTGAAATTTATCCTTTTACGTACTTTTTAGGGGTGATGACATAGTGTTGGCACAACGTCCCTCTCTGGGGAACAAATTATTTTCCTCTGTAGGACTTGAAACTCATAAAATCCAATTTGCTGTAACGAGGGGGGGTGGGAATCAATAGAACTTTGCACACCACACTAGTTTCTGTGTTACGGCATTCTGAGGTCTTTTGAAACCAAGTCCTCTTGGTTTCTAAGGCATCTACAATGGAATCATTCAAAATTCAAACTCTCTGATTTTCTTAGTCATAGAGAGATTACAGAAATGACTTACAGTCTGGACAAAGAAACTTTTGTTGACCCAACAGTATCCCTCCCCATGGGCTGGAGGGATCTCTCTTGTCACAAGATAATTCCAGGGCAAACAGGTTTCAAGAGCTTTACGATGGAATAGAAATATTGCCCTTTACATGTAATAAATACATAAAGCTACATATGCATGAAAATAGCTATAATGTTAAAGAAGAAAACCAAATGACAAATTTTGGTGAAGATTCAGAGAATTTCAACCTTGTATTATAGCTGTTGGGTGTGTGAAATGGTGTCACCACTGTAGAAAAGTGGTAATGCCTGAAAGCTTCAAACTTAGAGTTTTGTATGACTCAGAAATTTTAGTTTTCAGTATAAGTCACCAAGTTTCAAAAGCTGAGACATGAACAGATAGTTGAATGCTCGTGTTTGTTGAAACGTCAGCCACACTAGCCACAAGGCAGACACAACCCAAATATTCACCAACAGAGGAATTAATTTACATGACAAGATATTATTTAGCCTTGAAAAAGAAGGCTATTCTAACATATGCTACACATGGGTGAACTTTGAAGTTATTAGGCAGAATGAAATAAAGCAGACAGGAAGGACCAATAAGACATGGTTCTACTTATGAGAGCTTCTTAGAGTCCCAGATTCAGAGACTGAAAACTGAACGGGAAGCTGCCGGGAGCTGATGGAGAAGAGCTGGGGAGTCAGGAGCTGATGGAGAAGGGCTGGGGAGTCAGGAGCTGAGGGAGAAGAGCTGCGGAGTCAGGAGCTGAGGGAGAAGAGCTGGGGAGTCAGGAGCTGAGGGAGAAGAGCTGCGGAGTCAGGAGCTGAGGGAGAAGAGCTGTGGAGTCAGGAGCTGAGGGAGAAGAGCTGGGGAGTCAGGAGCTGAGGGAGAAGAGCTGCGGAGTCAGGGTCTGGGAGTGGGGAGTCATGGGTTAGGGGAGAAGGGATTGGAGGGGTTATTTCATAGGTAAAAGTTTACAAGATAAAGAGTTCTGTGGATTAAATGGCTGTACAACAGTGTGAATGTGCCTAATGGCACTGAATTCTACCCCTGAAATGGTTAAAATGGAGAATTTTATGTATATTTTACAATTTTATATGTATTACTATATACATGTAATATATATTGCATATATAATGTATATTTGTATGTATGTATACATGAATTTTAGGGTTGTAAAATTCCAGTCATCTTGTATATCCAAATGCAAGTTCAGAAGACTTCTAACTTGGCTCCAAACCCTATCTCAACCCCATACCCTAAGTGGTCTCATTGGCCAATCAATGTGCTCGTCACAGAGCTGTCACAAGGATGCGGCTGTTAGGAGTCAGTGCAGGACACCAAAGACAGTTCCTAGGGGAGGAACCCTGTGCTCAGATTAAGTGGCCACAGCCAGCTACACAGGGTCCTCAGGCCCACCTGGCACCTGGGGCCCAGCTTGGCAATGCTAGCAGCCTAGGCACATGCCCCACTCCAGCACAGGCTGTCCAGCTCCCCTCAACCCCACACCTGTAGCCTGGTCAGTGGGGTCAGCACTCCTTGTTGCCTGTGTGAGGAAACAGGAAGTGAGTTGCTCCAGAACAAATGTAGATGGAGTAGTGTAGAAAGGGGTGGATGGCCCCACACACCCAGCCCCGGGGTTCCAGGAAGCACAGACACCACAGGAACACAAGTCGCCCTCTCGAGCGCCCCACCCTTTGTAAGCAGGCAGCCTGGAAGGGCCCAGCAGCCCAGAAACAAGGATGGAAGCCAATAATGTACAGAACTGCAGTCGGGCACACAGCACAAAGGACACGTCCCCCTGCAGAGCTGCACACAGGAGTGGAAGGCAGGGCAGGTTGCAGCTTCTGACCTATGTATCACTCCTCTCTGAAGGACCAAGCACGGGTTTGGTGGCCCTTAGCTCACCTTCATGCCTATGTTTCTGTTCTATCAATTCCAGTCAGAAAAAGATTTCTCAGCAGCTGGGATGACTGGAGAGGAAGTAGATCTTGCTCATTTGCAAGATGGAATTTTCTGGGTGTTCAAGTCCATGATCGTAGCCCAGGAGCTGAGTTTATCATGGCCAGTGTGATGACCTGGGGACCTTGTGATTGAGGTCCAGAAGCCACCAGGCTGATAGGAAAGAACATAAAAGGGGGACCTGGCCACCCACTTTCCTATCCTGCCCCTGGGTGCCCTACCTGCCAGGCTATCAGGTCCTTGAGCTTCTCAATCTGTCCATGGGCCTCAGGGTGCTCCTGTAGGTAGCGGTCTGTGAAGAAGGCCTGTGGAGATGGGGAAAGCCACTCAGCACACATGATCACCCAGCACAGCGCTGTGCACAGGGGCCTTAGTGAGAGCCATGCATAAGCCCTCCCATGGCACTCCCTGCAGACCTTGGGCTGGACCCTCTCCAGGACCTGAGGTCAAACACAATACACAGAGTATAAGGAGAGCCAGGAGTCCAGCAAAGCCACAGCCCATCTAGACTGTTTGGTCCGGCTGGGAAGCATAGATAGGGTTACAGCCCTCAAAGCTGCACCCGTGCCTAAGTCTCCTCCTGAAGAGTGCAGGACATCGAGAGAAAGTGCTACCTTTTCCTGAACCTCGTAGCTGCTCTCAGGCAGAGCCTCTCAGTCTTAGGTTCTACTCTGTCTAGATCAGTGTCAACAAGCCTTTTCTGTGCTGGGTTGATTGGCAAATGTTTTCAGCCTCGTGGACTAAACAGGCCTCTGTTTAGTGGCTCCAGTATGTCACTGTTGTGTCAGGTAAACACCCAGGAAGAGGTGAGAAAATGAACACGGTCCCATTTGAAGAAGCATTTGTGAAAATGGGCTTGGGCTGCGGTGGGCAGATGAGTTTTAGCCTATGTGTCCTTCAACTTCTGCCTGCTCCTATTGCACTGTAACTGAGGGAAGCCAGAGACCCTGCCCTCGTACTAGTGCCATCTCTCTAGGCTGAACATGTGGACTCTTGCTTGTCTCCAGAAAGGACTCTTTAGCCTTTCTATGATCCCAGGCCTCTGGGTAGTGAGGGTGATTCTCCAGAGCTCTACTAGCCCAGTATGGGTGGGCCAGTGGGGCTTCCTGGCTGGGGAAGGGTGCACTGGCACCTCTCCTGAAGGCTACCACCTCTGCTGGCATGGCTCAGGGGGATCAGGATAGCTCCTGGGCCCTGGAATCATGTGTAGAATGCCCAGCCTCTCCCAGGAGTCACATGCCTTTTCATAATTGGCAAAGCCACCCATGACAGCTGGGTCCACGATGCCATTCAGGAGCATGGACAGGGGATTGATGGGCAGGCCCGGGTCATCCAGGTGCTGCTGGACCATGCTGCTGATCTTGTCGTTTGTCAGCTGCATGGTCTCAATGGCGTTCTCCAGTGGGCTGATCTCTACCTGTAAGGGAGGGAGTACAGTGCATGTCAGCCCAGCTGCCACAGTGCCCTCCCACATACATTTTCTGTGACAAAAATGAGAACTTAGAGTTACAACGAGCCAGTTATCTTGTCCAAGTAAATGCAAGTTTGGAGAACTTCTAAGCTGGCTACAAATTGGATCTCAGTCTAGCCACTCTAAGTGATTTCACCAGCCAAGGTCCCAACTGCCTTGGAGGCTTTGGGGCAGAGAATGGAGGTCTCAGAGCAAAATGTGATCATGTTTCTAGGAGCAGGGGCTCTGAGCAGGCAGAGGGGCCTCTATCCTGGCTGTGAGGTGGGGAGGTCTGGTGTCGTTGAGATATACATCCTTATGGAAGGGCTCAGAGCTCACAGTGGCACGGACAAGGGGGAGGAGAGGACACGCAGCTGGGCAGAGCTGGCAAGCACAGCCAAATGCTAGAGCCAAAACTCCAGGTGTGTCGGGGACTTGCTGTAAGATGGACTGTAAGTGCATCCAGGGTGAAGCATATTTTAAATGATTTTTTTAAAGCAGTCTCGGGTAGTCCAGGCTTGCCTCAAAGGCCGAGGATAACCTTGAATTTCTGATCCTTCTGCCTCTACGTCCCAAGGGCTAGGGTATACCATACTCAGTGTACGTGATGGTGGGTGTGACCCAGGACTTCGAGCATGCGGGGACACAGTCTTAGCCTTTAATTGGATCTTTTTTTTTTTTGATGGACAATTTCTGTAGGCCTGATATTTGGGTCTAGTCAATGAACCCATGGTCCAGCAAACCCATGGTCCAACATTACCTCATGTTAATGAAGCTGTCCCAAACCTCCTTATAAATGGAAATTTCATATAGATGGAATGCTCTCATAGCAAGGCAAAGTTCAGCTAACAAGATGGGAATCATCATTTCTTTACAAAATACCGTGGCCGGGGCGGGGGTGGGGAGTATTCTCGGGCTATTTTCACTTGATATGAGCAAATTCTATTCATTAAGTTATTTTTCATATAAATGACAATAGAAACCAACAGAAAGAGACTTTGTAGAAAGTTCATGTCAATTGAAATGTGCTTTAAACTTTTCATTTAATTAAAAGAAAGAACTGTCAAACAACACAGTATTGCTGAAATTAAATATGTGTGAGAAGAAGTGAGGTCTGGCTCTGCGCTTGTTTTGTTTAGTTTGGTCAGCAAGCGCTGGGGATGACCACAGAGCTTTTGGAATAAGATGCTGGAGGTGGCAGAGAGATGCTGATGCCCCAAGATACACGCAGGGTGGTGACAGGCAGCATGCAAGCACGCCAGTGATCACGTGGCTCTTGAGGAAGAGGAAGGTGTGTCACACCCAGTGAGAGAGGCGGACAGATGGCTCCTTTTTGGAGAGGGGTGGGTAGGTGTGTAATCCTTACCATGAAGACAGATTTGACCTCAAACCATCTTAAAATTCCTGGCAGTTTATAGGCCGTGGTATAGATGGTTCTCTCAATCCACATGTTCTGTGAAAGGAACACATACAGCACATGTCAGGAGCTGGATGTCAGCAGGAAGGTGGCTCTGTCCTCCTGGAGATCTGTGTGACCCCACTGTATGGAGGCTCCAGAGGACAGGGTCTGCCTCTGTTCAGGTAGGACAGGTACATACTGAGGGTGCTTTGGGAGCCAAGCTCTGCTCAACAGTCACAGCACATCATCAAAGCACCCCGTTTCCTGGTCGGCAAACCCACCTGCTATCTGGAAGACATAGTAGGCAAGCAGTGGAAATGTAAATATCTCAGAGCGAAGGGGGTTCCCTCTTACATGGATTTGGGAGGCCTTTGAGTTTTACATTAGCTAATATGTTTATACACAAAGATGTAGAGATAGAGGGTGATGAGACCCCAAATGCATAGATGAGAACGTAGATATTTTGGTGTTCGTTGTTCAAGACTTCTTACGCAGTGTTACTCCTTTCTACATTTTACTTTGTGACAGGGCCTCATGTATCCTGTACTGCTGAACACACAGGTAGCTGAGGATGACCTTGAACTTCTGATCTTCCTCTTGTCTCCATCTCCCTGAGTACTGGAATCACAGGCATGTGCCACCACATCTACTTAATTTATACAGTGCTAGGGCTGGAATGTAGCAACAAAGGTACATTCCTGGTCTCAGTCTATTTTAAATAAAAATATTTTCTAAAATGTATTCTTTTTAAAGTGGCACTTGACATATTGTAGAAAATGGTTTCAAGCTAATGAGAATTTTACTATTCCTTAACGGCTACCCAGAACTCTAGCAGAGGGCAAACTGTAACCCTTTAGGCCAAGTTCTCTAGTCACAGGACAATTCCAGATGCTGGCCTGGGCCTTAGAACCTCTGAGATTCCAGAGAAAAGCAAGGAGATCTGTTTTCCAGGCTCTTTTGCTATGTCCTTGGGAACTTTTCAGAGCCCACCTCCAGTGCCCACGCCGCTGGAGATACCCCAGATCTATCTCAGGCCTCATGGACAGCCCTAACTCAGGGCCCAGGTTGGCTGGCTCCTGCCTACTGGCCCTGGTTCCTGAAGCTGCATCTCTTGCCTAGCACTAAGCATGCTCTTGGCCTGGCAGGACAGCTTTCCTAGACCTTGCTCTTGGGGGCAGAGGAGGCCAGGAGCCCTGCAGAAGGGCCCAGGGCCAGGCTTTCTTATCGCTCCACTCTTATTTGGAAGCCTGAAGCTTTGTCAGGCATGTGAGGGGCTACGTCCTGTGGCTTCAGAACGCTCCATCCACATGTGAGGATCCAAATGGGGCCATGGGGGGATTTCGGGGCCACAGAGAAGCAGCATAAGCTCTGGGGTTTAGCACAGCTCAAAATGTCAGGCACCCAGGTTATTCTTAGCTCCAGTCCCAACTCGCTGAGCACCCTTCAGCAATGTGCTTGACCTCCTTCTGTCTGTTTCTTTACCGTATCAGAATATACATATTGGGCTCAGCAGTTGAGAGCACTGGCTGCTCTTACAGAGGACTGGGGTTTGAGTTCTAGTATCCACATGGTGACTAACAACCGTCTATATCTCCAGTTCCAGAGGATCTGACACCCTCTTCTGACCTCTGTGAGCACTGCATGACAGGGGGCACTTATATACATGCAAGCAATACACTCATACACATAAAATAATAATAATAAATAAAATATTTTTAAGAAGAATATACATATTTCCAGATGGGGGAGGTGTGAGGGAAATTCAATCAATCCTCCAGTCTGAGTCACTATAGAAAGAATGCCTTGATTTATTTGTGATCAGATAATTCAGAAAGTCACCACAGTTGGTGTGGGTATTAGGGTTGTCTATGCCTAGGCTGTGAACCTCAGTTACACTACAAGGACCAGCCACCAGGGGACCAGGATTCTGATGTTGGTTAAGAAACCACATGTTAGTCTTAAAACAAGACAGCGTTAGAATTGTACAAGACTTCAGGGCCTCACCTTCCACCAGGTTCCTGTCAACACACAAGGCCACTGGTTTCAGGTCAGGAGAGACGTCCCCAAGGTGGCTCTCAAGAATTATGAATTATGATTTTGCCCTAAGGACTCATGGGGAGGGAGAGTGAAAGTCCTTCTACCCAAGTCAGCCCTAATGGCAGGCTTCAAGTTATGATTAGATCAGCTGTGGGGTACCAATTCACCTTTAGCCTTCTGTACCCTAAAGGCCCCCAGACTATAGGAGGAAATCATTTTAGCAGGACTGGTCCTTACTAGGGTTCCTGGAGCTAAAGTTGCCTTGTAGTATGGGGCTAAAGAGGGAGTCTGCAGGGAGGGAGTCCAGGGTAAGAGAAGAAAGGGTTAACATTTCAAACTACTGATGCCTTTGAAATGGGCTCCATTAAACCAATTCATATATATATAATCTCCCCCCCCCCGATGTATATGTGTAGAAGCCAGAGATCAACCTCAGCCAGGGTTCCTCAGGCTCTGTCCACCTTGTTTTGTGAGTCACGGTTTCTCACTGGGACCTTTGCCTAGTGGGCTGGAGTAACCGATCAGTGAGGCCCAGGGACCTGCCTGTGTCTGTCTCCTGGATGCTGGGATTATAAGCACACACCAGCTTTGTTGACATGAGTTCTGTGGATAGAACTCAAGTCTTCATGCTTGAAAGGCAAACAAAACACTTCAGCGGCTGCACATCTCCACAGCCCTGCTGTGTAACTTTTAAAAGGCATGTATTACTATGTGTTACACGTCTGCTGTTACATGTCTGCCAATGTGATCGCTGGCAAAAAGGGACAGATATTTGGAAATGTCTAGAAACCCCATTGGTTGTCATGACTGGGTTCAGACCAGGGATGTTGACCCGAATCAGAACCCTACAGAGGTCAACAGAAGGTCAGCAGCTCTAAGTGGGAACTCTTCTGCCGTCGGGCTCACCTGGCGGTCACTATCACTGCAGAAGACTCCATAAGCCTCTGTGCCCCTGGGGAACCATGTTCTAAGCACTGGAACTCACTGGAAGGGAACACCCAACCCTTCATGACATCAGTCATGTCCCTATGCATCTCCACCTCATGGACAAGCCTTGTGAATTTTACTCGATCTGGAGAGCAATGGCTTGAGATTCCTGCAGACTTTTAACACCGCCCATGGAAGCCTTGGGGCCCCGTTGCTCTTGGCTCCCACCCGACACTGGGAGAATGAACGGAGTTTGGGGTTTTATTTCATTGGCTGCACTTTTTTTCTTCTTTTTAATTACCGCAAATTCATTGTCTGGGTTTTTCTCTCCTTTCCGGATAGGCCGAGAATATTCAAACCGCTGGACCTCATTCACCCTGTAAAAACTGTAGAGACAGAAAAATCATTAGACATTTAACCTGCAAAGTAGCCAATTTGTTTTTGGACCTGAGGGCTTGGCCTAGGAACACAGCACCACATCTCAGAAAACATTCCCAACTTTGACCCGAAGCCATGGTCTTGGCTCCCCCTCCACCGGCCTCTGGAGGGAGATGCCGGCAAGTGGAAAAACTGATGGGAGGTTTTTACCTCCTGTCTGTCTCCGCCAGGCCTCAGGGAAAGAGATGCCGGGTAAGGGCAGAATGTGGCAAAGCTTTAAAGGTGATCTGAAGGAGACATGTGTATTCAGTGAGGGTGCTCAGTATTTTAAAAGTTAGTAATGTATCATTTGAGTTCAATTTTTTTTTTTTTTTTTTTGAGACAGGCTTTCACTATGTAGCCCTGGTTGGCCTGGAACTTGTTATGGAGACTAGGCTGGCCTCTAAGTCCCAGAGATCTGCCTGTTTCTGCCTCCTGAGTTCTGGGATTATAGGCATGCCACCACCATGCCTGGCTAGCTCAATAATTTAACAGCTAACTTGTTTAAATAATTCAAATACATACATACATACATACATACACACATATATATGTCTTTTTGAGACAGGGTCTCCCTGTAGCCCCATCTGGTCTGGAACTCACTATGTAGACCAGGCTGGCCTTGAACTCACAGAGATTTCCCCTCCCTTGCCTCCCAAGTGCTGGGATTAAAGGCATGCATCATCACGCCTGGCAATTCAACAATATGCATCTTGTTAAAAGAAAGGTGTTTTAGTTTCTAGTTTCAGACCTGTAAGACGTAGATTTTGCAGACACTCAGAGTGGTGAGTAGGACCACAAACAGCCTGTTGTCTGTCCGCCTTGGGGTAGCGGTGGGTTTATTATCCTGTCAGGGTGTAGGTGGGGTGATACTTATTTCTCCTCCTATAAGGAAATGTCCACAGAGCTATCTGGGGAACTCAACACATCTGCATTTGCCTAATGCCTTTCTCTGAGAAAAAAGCATGGAGAACCTTAGAATGGGTTTCTGGGAGAACACTCCAATGTGAACACACAGTCCTAGTCGTTTCCACAACTGGAGTCAGGGCAGCGATGACAAAAGATTAAAGAATCCACCAAACTTCAAGATGCAAAACAAACAGATTCAAGGAGTAGCAGCCATCAAAGTGGCTGATGCTCTCTCCGGGACAGAGATCAAATGGAAAATAAAACTCTTCACATCAAAGAACCATCTAGGAGGCAGTGGTTTCTACAGTACTGCGGAGTCAGGCAGAGTTCAGCTGCAGGTGTGTGATCTCAATCCCACCAGGACAAGAGACTTGTGAGATTCAAACGCCACCTCACTATCTGGCACCAAGAAACCGCCATTGCTGCAGGGCAAAAACTGTTACTGTTGTTGTGTGTGTTCACGTGTGGGGGCGTGAACATGTATATGTGTGCACATGCATGTGGAGGTCAGAGGACATCCTCAGGTGCAGCTCCTTGGGCACCTTCTACCTTTTATTGGACACAGGGTCTCTCTTTGCCCTGAAACTTTGCCAAGTCAGTGAGGCTAGTTTCCGGGGATCCATGTGTCTCGGATTCCAACCGATTAAAGGTACCACTGCATCTGCCTCTTTTTGTGAGCTTTGGGGATCGAACTCAGGTGCCGCCCCCCTGCCCCTGACTTGCAAGGTAAGTGCTTTACCAGCTTGGCCATCCCTCTAACCCGGAGAAAAGGGTTATTATCTTGAACCTCACAAGGAACAAACACTCCAATCTCTTTCCTCATCTTATAAGAAGCAGTCAGTCCAGATCACCATGGAGTGGGGTAGAGGTGGGGTGGACACTACTGGAAGGCTTCACAGGAGATTCTACCCAGAACTGCAGGTCTCTAAGGAGCCCAGAGGTCTGCCACTTCCCTCCTGGGTTCCCATTCTCTCTAGACCCCAGGAAAGGACCCTGTGTGCCTCTCCAGTAACCCTTCCATTTTGTAGGTACCAGAAATCATTAGCTTCTGTTGTTCTTCAAAGAGGGCAGAGAAAAAAAAAAAAAAAAACATCTGGAAAGATTACAATCCATACTTCAAAAAGTAGAGTTATTAGCATGAGCCCTGACTACAGCCTCTCACCACCTCCTATCGGTAGGGGAACTGGTGTGATTACCTTACGATCTGTTCCGACACCGGCCGGTGAAATCTAGGAGGCAAATCAAGCTTGGGCCTCACAGTGAAGCACTGGATGTCTGAGGGAAGGGTGTTAAGGACCACGGGCAGTGTGCAGAGAGGCCCCACCCTGCCTGCAGCACCCCCTGCTAATGGAGGAGTCATAAAGGCTGCACGGTCCTTTGGTGTCTTAAAGGATACACTGGCCAGGAGAAGTCTTAATATCGTCGCCTGGTGGAGATGTTGTCTTCATTTTTTCAGCGTTTGGAAACTGAGTCAATAGCCGGGCTTCAAAATCTTCCCGTCGTTCATACTCTTTGCCCCGGTAAATGAACACTTTTCCCTGAAAACAATGACCTTCATTAAATAACACCAAAGAGGATGGGCCATGGAAAGTTCACATGCAAGAGCACTGTCTTCAAAATGTGCTTGACAGTTTTTAAAACCATGTCACTACATTTAAGAACTTGTCTTGCTCTCACTAATCAGGAACACGGGGACAGAAGCCATCCACATTATTACTATTGGCGAAGCAGGGGGCCTCACAGGGCTGAACTCTTCTCCATGAAATTCAGTCATAACAGTAACAACCAATTAAAAAACTATAAAAGAGGGGCAGGAGAGACAGCTCAGCAGTTAAGAGGACTGGCTGCTCTTGCAGAGGACCTGGGTTCAGTTCCTGGCACCCACGTGGTAGCTAACAACCATCCATAATTCCGGTTCCAGGGGATCCAACACCCTCTTCTGGCCTCCACAAACATTGTGTGATAAGGTATACTTATATAGCCGCAGGCAAAACACTCATACACATAAAATAAAAAGAAATTAATTTTAAAAATATGAAGGGGGCTGGCAAGATGGCTAAGTGGGTAAAGGTGCTTGCTGTCAAACCTGACAACCTGAGTTTGATCACTGGGACCCTTGTGGTGGAAGGAGAGAACCAACTCCTGTGACTTGGCCTCTGACCCCCTCATGTATGTTGTGGCATGATATCCCCCCTATATATAAATGAATGTAACAAAAATCTACAAAGAAACTAAGCAAGGCATGGGGGCCCAGGCATGTTCACAAAGGGTTAACACAGCCCGGGCACGTGGAAAGGATGCCTGTCTTTCTTTTCATGTGAGTCCTGTTAAGGTTGGACTATCTCAAAATAGGCCACACCAGGATATTACTCATTTAAGTCTGAGTTCACTTGCAGAGTTGTAGCTTTAGGAAAGGCTATGTGGCCTGTTTTTCTCCATGTAGCAAAGACATAGGGAGCCTCACATGGACGCCTTTCACACACCACAGCTGGCTTCAACAAACCTGGAGAGCAAACTGTAAAATAACTGACTGTCCCCTAGCTTCTATAATCCCACCCACATGGCCATAGTAATATTCCGAAGTCACTATCCTCATCCACACAGCCACTGTCCTGCCTTTTCTTTATAAATTCACAGTGCTTTGTCCAAGGCACTAGTCATTCATTTGAACTTTACTCTAGTGATCTCTCCACGAGCATGTAAAATTAATTAGTTCTTCTGCTTCGCTCTTGTTAATCAGGTCCTGTGTTAATTGGGTTCCTAGACCCAGCCAAAGAGCCCACAGACAAGCCCAGTGATGTGGGCTCTCCTCTGTACTCCTAATTAAGTCATTCGCCTCTGTGGAAAGGAGTCTGACTCTGCATGGGACTAAAGGGTCTTCCTCAGAGCCTGATCTGACTCCTGGGTGTCACATGGAGATCTGCAGGGAAGGAGGAAAGAGGATCCAGGCTAAAGCTGGAAGGCCCCGCCTCCCACCTCCCTGGAGGTGAGAGGCTGGAGATGGGTGGATGGCCTGGCTTTCTTCCTGACAACTGCAGTTCTGTATGATCCTTACTCATCAGTGAATGAAATGACAAAGGACACAGCTCTTCTAAGGGCTGACTTTTCCCTTTGTGGGTGACATCCTCCAAGCCGGAGATCACTGAGTGCTGTCATCTGTGTCCAAACGCGGTGACTTTGGTGGGGGCTTAGGTAGATGGACACTCTTGACAAGGGCTGTATTGTTCGCCTCTGTGGGTGTAACCCAGTCACTCTATACTCGCACATCTGTAAGTAATGCTCTTACAAGATATAACCGGTCTCCGTTCCTCAGGAGAACAGTGTTCTGAGTGTCAGCTGAGCCACAAAGAGGTGTCAGCGGGAAGAATGTAAAGTCACTGCTGACTTTTGAAGGCTTCCACCTTCTCCACCTGCCCTGGACCGTCCTATGCTGCTTCTGCCTAATCAGAAACCACAGCCCCAGCAACTGGGACACAGGGAGTGGGCTTGGGGACTGTGGGATGCGGCCCCATCAGGACACCTGAGGTTCCAACCAACAGACACTGGGGAAGCATCATTCCGGCTGGTCATGCCTTATCAATGGCTGTCCCTGGACAGAATGGGGAAGACGGGGTTGGGGAGAGCATGGACAGTGAGGAAGAGGTAGACACAGAGAGGAGAGAGAGAGAGAGAGAGAGAGAGAGAGAGAGAGAGAGAGAGAGAGAGAGAGAAATGAGAGAGGAGAGAGAAATGAGAGAGTGAGGAGAGAAATGAGAGAGAAATGAGAGAGGGAGAGAGAGCGAAATGTGTCCAACCCAAGAGAGAGAGAAATGAGAGAAATGAGAGAGAGAAATGAGAGAGGGAGAGAGAAATGAGAGAGGGAGAGAGAGAAATGAGAAAGGGAGAGAGAGAAATGAGAAAGGGAGAGAGAGAAAAGAGAGAGGGAGAGAGAGGGAGAGAGAAGCATTTTGTTACACTTTCTTACATCTACCTTGATTCAGCCTAAAATTAAATGTTGTCTAATTAATACATTTTCACAGAGGTAAAGGGAGCCCCTACAATAGCCCACCGATTTATCCCTGCTGTGGTCTGAATACTCCCTCTCCTCTCCATACACTAATATGTAGTCAGCAAAGTAATAACAGCTCTGGGCTTTGAAGTGATTAGATTCACAAGGGTCCCCAGAGAGTTCCCCTCTGCTTTGTGAAGGACAAGGTCTCACTAGACACAGAATTTACTGGCACCCTGATCTTGGACATCCCAGCCTCCAGAACTATGAGCAATACAGTTCTGTTATTTATAAAGTACCCAGTCTAAAGTATTTTGTTATAGCAGCCCAAATGGACCAACCAAGACAATCCCCCTTTCAAATTCTAATTTATTCTGAGGTTTAGCGAATTACTGAAGAAGGAATAGTTTAAGGACTGGAATATTTTCCACTTCGTACTTAGGTATGTCTTGAAGTATCATTATGGAAGAAAAATGTTCCATTTTTTTCCGAAAAAAATGTCAAGCAGAAAGCAAAGTTATATGTAGTCTTAATTAGAAATATAAATACAGAGTCTGGCGTCGTGTGAGGTCAAACATTTTGGGAATTCAGTTCAGTAAGATTTAATAGAGAACAGGCCACTGTGGAAGCAGCACGCATTTATCAACTTTGCCCTTAAAGAAGGCACAACAATAAAAACATACAAAAGCTTTAATAGGAAAACACTAGTGAGTTACGGGTGAGACCTCTAATAAAATGTTCCAGAACTCTCAATTACTTAGCATCCTGAAGTAGTCCTTTCAAACACAAAAGAGGGGGAAACACACATCGAGTCAAATATATTTATTCCTTGTGAGAACTGTAAATATTAATATGAATGCAAAAAGCAACAAGATCGATTTATGGAGAAAAACAGAGCCGCAGCGACGGTGAGCCAGCTCAGCGTCTGCTCTCCTGACTGCGTGGTCACCAAACATCCCTCCCACTTTCTCGTAACTGGTAATGTCATTGTCAGACTGACCCCTGCCAGATGATCTGTGAAGTGTAATGAATATATTGCTGCAGCCCTGCAAAGCTACTCAGGTGTGGCAGGGACGGCAGCTCCTTATTAATCAAGCACGCTGAACTCTGTTCTTAAGTCACACTTTGTCCTCTGGTGGTGGCAGTGACCCAGGATGGTCCCTGGAGCCTGCGGTGCCCGTGAGCGCCAGGCAGGATGTGATGCCAGGCAGGACGGGGCACTGCTGCCTCTACCGCAGCATGTCTTCAGGGGGCATTTCATTTGCAGGCTCAGGTAGGCTTCTGCTCTGCTACGAGAGCTGGTTAACCATCCTGCACAGATGCATGGTTGGCCCTTGCTTCCATCACAGGAGGACTCTAAGTCTGGAGCCCAGACCGAGCATGAGATGCCCAGTATAGCACTGGACTCACCTTGGGAAACAGACTCACAGAAACAGACTCACTCACTCACTCACACACACACACACACACACACACACACACACACACATATGTATGTATAAATTAAAAGGTTGTGTTATTTCTATTTATTTAATTTTTCACACACACACACACACACACACACACACACACAGACATGTATGTATAAATTAAAAGGTTGTGTTATTTCTATTTATTTAATTTTTGCAAAATTAGGCTACTTTGCCTCTATGCTTTGCATTTTGTGTGTGTTGTGTGTGGGCACCCTCATGCGCACATGTATGTGTGTGCTGTGTGTGGGCGCCTCATGCACAATGTATCGGAGGCTCAATCCAATCTCGGGTGTTGTTCTCCCCATGCTATCTGGTTTTCATTGGTCTCATATTGGCTAGAAACTCACCAATTAGGTTAGGCTGATTGGCCAGCGAGCCCCAGGGATCTCTGTCACTACCTCCCGAGAAGCATGCAACTCCACACACACATTTTGCTTTTTTTCTAAGTGAACTTCAAATCCTTCCCTATTTAGAGAGTGTAACTGAACACCTTTTACTCATCTTGAACAGCAAAGCTCTCTCTAGAACCTGGGTGTCTGCTGGACTGCTATCTTAGCTATATAAAAAGGCAAGGCAGTGGGAGAGGCTGACCAGCTGTGACCAGCCTGGGCCAGATGCCTTGGTGACCTATGGAGAATGCTGAGTCAACCATCTTTCCCTCCTATAGGGGCCAACACTGCATGGGTCACTCCTGTAAAGAATGACAGGTGAACTGGGGAGACAGCTCAGTTGGTAAAGGGTTTGAATTGAATTTGATTCACACTCACACACACACATACACACATGCGCACACACACGCACACACACACAAAGCAAGGCATGGTGGCACATGCTAGTAATCCTGGTGCTGAGGAGACAGAGATAGGCAGATCCCTGGAGGTCACTGGCCAGCCAGCCTAGCCTACTTGGCAAGTTCTTGGCCAATGAGAGACCCTATAAAAAGCAAGGCGAGGGCACCAAGGAGGTTCTCATGCATCGCAGCAAGGGCCTTACCTGCTGATCCACCTCAACGGCCCTCAAAAGTTTCAATTAGATCATATTTTCAGGATATTATTGACTGATATTAAAAAATAGAAAATACTATTTGTAGCTGCAATGTGCATGTTTATATTCTAAATACATTTCCTTCAGCTTGTTTTAACCTCTTTGTGCACAGACATACATACACACACACACAAATGAACAAGGAAACACAGGCACGCACACATACTCTGGGAGCGGACATTTACATCTTATGGTTGCCAGCATACAGAGTCCCCCTGAGCGACCTGATGGCACTGGAAACCCCAGACAAGGGAGCAGCCTCCCCCCAGCTCTGCACTCCCAGCACAGAATCCCCGTTCCCATGAAGCTAGAGGAATCACATGACCAGAGAAAACCATGTATCATAAAAATGTCATAAGACATGACAGACATCACGACGCCCTGGCCAGTGACAGGTAAGAATGTCTTTTTCAGAAATTTGAAGTTACTTCACTAGTAGGTCAGGGAGCATGTATTTATAGATTTCAGCATCCTGTGGATACTGGGAAATGAGTGTTTGGAGGGCCGTCATGGCTACTGTTTTAGTTATGTATCCAGTAGCATCCATTGGTCCCCGTGAGGGAGTGGGATTCAGTTTCAAGCATAGTTGTTATTAAAAACCCACTTTCGATTTCTTATATGATTAGAAATATGCATATTCACAGCAATACTGCTCACACTAGCCAAAAGCTGGAACTAACCCAAGTATCCATCAACGGATGAATGGAGAGACAAAGTGTGGTATATTCACACAATGGAATACCATCCAGCTTTGAAAAGGAATGAGGTTCTGACACCTGCTACAACATGAATAGACCTTGAAGACATCATGCTGAGTGAAAATAAGCCAGATACAAAAGGCCGCATACAGACCGATTCCATTTACATGAGGTAACTAGAGTGCTAGACTCACAGGGCAGACAGGAGCCTGAGGCTCCCATAGTGTGAGAAAGCAGATGAGAAGCTGATGTTTAAGGGTGTGGAGATCTAGTGTTTAAAACTTCTATTTATTTTTATCTACGTGTATGTATATGAGTCTGTGTGCATGTCGGTCACATGTGTGCAGGTGCCTGTGGAGGCCAGAAGGAGGAGTTGGAGCCCCTGGAGTTGGAGTTACTAGCTGCTGTGAGCCACTCTATATGGGTGCTGGGAACCCAAACTCCTAGGTCCTCTGTGAGAACAGTAAGGGCTCTTAACTGCTGAGCCATTTCTCCAGCCCCAAGTTCTGGTTCATAAGTTCAGAAAGTGCTCAAGGCTGTACCACAATGCAGTGTGCTTAGGCCACTGAACTGCACAACTACGATGTATGCGAATGTAGGTACATGCATGCCACAGAGAGCACGTGGAGCTCAGAGGTCAGCCTTGGCCGTCAGCTCGCCTGCCACCTCGTTTGAAGGAGTCTGTCACTCACTGCTCAGTGGGCTAGCTCCCCTGTCTGCCTTCTTCCATCTTTTGGTAGGGTGTGCTGGGATTGCAGAACCATGCTACTGAGTCTGGCTTTACATGGGTTCTGGGGATCAGAACTCAGTCCTTACCCTTGTAGGAGATGGTGTAGCCACTGAGCAATCTTCGGTTTCCTGTGTATATTTTGTCACAGTTAAGCATACATTAAATCTCTAAAGTTCTTTTCAGGAAGAAATCTGATGTAAAGCCTATATGAAATCAAAGAAAATATTCCTGGCCCATCCTTGGCACCACAGATCAACACAAAGCTAGCACTTGGTGTTGGGTTTTGCTGTGTGAAACACCAGGAAGGAGCCGCTCTGCTGAACGAGTGCTTCTGGCTCAGAGCAGGAAGAATCATCTTACCCGGAGGAACGAGGGGAATCCTTGCCCGTAGTAGCCAACAGCAAAATAGTCAGGCTTGGGTCTTATCACCTTGACAATGTTTTCATAAAATTGTGCCTGTTTTTTCTGGAAGGAAGAAAGAAAATTCATCTCAGGGTTGAGCAGAAAACACTTGAGCATCCAATATTCTGGATTCTTCTTGTCAGGGGGCAGAGCTTGGCAACTCAGGCAGACTGTAGGAGGGTACCAAGGCCACACATGGGCTCACCTCACTGATGGGCTGCCATCATTTTAAAAAATATTTTATTTATTATTTTTATTTTATGTGTTATGCCTGCATGTTGGTAAGTGCAGTTGTGTCATGCAGTGCCTGCGGAGGACAGAAGAGGCTGTCGTATCCCCTATAAATGGAGTTACAGATGGTTGTTAGCTGCCATGTGGGTGCTGGGATTCGAACCTGGGTCTTCACGAACAGTCAGTGTTCTTAACCACCGAGCCATCACTCCAGCCCTGGGTTGCCATCATTTTAGTTCAGTCCCGCACATCCCTTCCCCGATCCCTGGTCATTCAGCAAGGTCGCTAAACAAACCACACTCAGTTACTAGTTGTGATTTGGGATTAGTTTCAATGACCAGAGAGGCACTCCAGGGAGTTTTCTTCCTGACTCAGCAGCAAGCCCCCAGTGTTTTTTAAGTGGTACAGATCAGATATGGGGGCTCAGGAAGGGAGAATTTAAAAGTCAGAATCATTCTGCTCTAAATGAGTGGCAAACGTTACATCATAAATGTGATCTGCCGAGCATAAGAACGAGGTTGCTGGGGAGGCAGCAGTGGAACCCGCAGAGAGCTCAGGGCAGCACACGGCTCTGGCTACCATCTGTCCAGCTCCTCTGGTGGGAAGGATGACAGCTGTAAACTAATGGAGAACCTAGGGGACTTCTAGGCTGTCAAGACCCCTGTACTTTGGATGTTAGCAGGTGTTACGCATCACTAACAAAGTTTTAACTTCTTAGCTTGGGAATAAAACGTGAATTCGCACGGGCCAGAATCAAGCTCTTTTCTAAGATAATACAGAGGGTGGTGTCAACATCAAGAGAACATCCGGGGTGGATCCCAACACGAAAACTGAAAGAGAAATTGCAGAAAAATCAAAACCCAAGACCTACCAGCAATTCGCTGAGCTGTTCATAATCAAACATTTCCGTTTCATACTGTTCTGCAAGCTCCTTGCCCAAGGCGATGGCCTCCTCCCACATCTGTGAGCGACAAGAAAATAAACAAGAGACCCAAACCTGAATTGTGCATCCAGTCCAACAGTAACACAGTTATTTACAATCCGGGATGAACTGAAGCACTAGAGGAGTGATTTCAGAAACACACAAGCGTTTTCTAGGGGTTCTGGCCTTTGTCTCAGGACCTGGAGTTTTGACTAAATGGCTCAAACTCTAGGCTCATCCATCACAACAGCTCTGCCATGGCACAGCGCTCCGCTGGCCTGTCCTTGACTGTCGGCACCCTCTTGCTGTCAGTGTTGGTTGCCAAGGACCATCTGTCAGGGCAGCCTTGGAGACAGGGAACAGGCACTCTAGGGCAGAGGTGCCCTGTTAGGAGTATCTGTGTGGGAGCTCAGGGCCCGAGCTGGCTACTTCCCAATGGTCCCACTTTATAAACACCATGTTACACTGCCACGACTCCAAAGCTTGCAGAACAATTGCTTCATGCAGATGTAAAGCCTGCCAGAGGTTTGCAAATAGACAAATAATTTGAAAGTGCCTTTCCAAATACTTTTAACAATGTGGATAAATTTTTCACATATAGTAATTTGCTGACAGGCCTAGACTTTATTTTCTTTCGGGGAAGGTTAAGAAAATGGATTACTTGAAAAGAACTCAGGAAATTTGGAGGAGCCAGTTCCCGTGGGAAGCCTCCCAGCTGTGCTTACCCCCCTTTGGGCTGCAGCCATCCAAGGCTTCAGAGCCTTCTTTAAAAACACAGGTGGCGCACGCCTTTAATCCCAGCATTCGGGAGGCAGAGGCAGGCGGATCCTCTGTGAGTTCAAGGCCAGCCTGGTCTACAGATTGGGTTCCAGGCAGCTGGAGCTACAGGGAGACCCTGTCTCGAAAAGACCAAAAAAAAAGTCTTTTTCTTCCATATTTCCTACTATGTTTGAAAACTTACTATTTCTAATGACTGAAATATTCAGAAAGTAGCCTATCTTAATGTAGGTCAAACTATTCTTTTTCGAAACAAATCTTTATCTTCTACACATCTTCAAATATTTAAAGATATTCACATTTCTCTAACCTTTCATTTCTCCAAGCTCCTGTTTAATACATTTCAGAAACTATAACACATCAACATATCTGGTTTTATCTTTCTTTCTTTCTTTCTTGTTTTATTTATTATTTATTATTTGGTTATTTATTTATTTTATTTATTATTTTTATTTATTTATATATTATATATTATTATGTATGAGTGTATTGCCTGCATGTACGTAAGTGCATCCACACCATGCAGTGCCCTCAGAGGTCAGAAGAAGGCATCAGATCCCCTGGAAAAGGAGCTAAAGATGGTTGTTAGCCACCATGTGGGTGCTCAGACTCGAACCCCAGTCCTCTGCAAGAGCAGCCAGTGTTCTTAACCGCTGAGCCATCTCTCCAGCCCCACAAATTTACATTCTTAAATTCAATTACATATTTTTAGTTTGAGAATTCTATCAGCTGTTATTGAAGTAATTTCTTTTTTTTTTTTTTTAACTTCCCAGACTGACTTTTTTCTCTAGAATTTTCTGTGGGGCACAGGTGAAGGTGCACTGGGGCTGGGCTGTCGAAGAGTAACAGAAAAATAATGGAATCTCTAGGTGCCTGGGAAAGGGAGAGGACCGACATAAAGATCTGGATGCCCAGAGGCACGTGTGGAGTCAAGATCATACCTGGCCCTCAGGGGAGGTGGGGAGTCAGACCTCCCAAGATTTGAAACTGCAAATGATAGAAACCCCCCTATCCCAGGCGTGATCACAATGCAGAGGTAAAGCCATGGTCATGCACATCTTGAATCTGGAGCTGTAATCCCCTCTTATGCAGCTGGAGCTGTGGTCCCCTCCTGTGAACCTGGTTCCCTCTGGTGAGCTGGAACAGTGCTCCCTCACATGAGGCTGGAGCTTTGGCCCCTAACCATCAGCCACGCTTCCACATCCTCTGCTGGTGGGCTGATGATGGAGCACGGGGAGGACAGAGGACTTCCCGATGTTGGGCAGCAGTTTCAGCTTTTCTGAGTGGCTGTGCTCTCTCCTCAGAACCTTCTTAAAGTAGTCAAAGTGGAAGATTCTTGTCTTTCCTCCCCAGACTACAAGCCCCTAAGAGTAGAGGCCGCGCATCACTTCTCTGGGAAACCTCAGGACATGGCTACCTGCTCCTCAGGACTTGGCACACAGAGCTGAAGGTTGACATGATACAACACTGTATTTCCAGCCAGAAATTCCCTGGATTTCCTAGTGCCACGGTTCCCACAAGATCCCTCTGGGAGCTACTCATTCCTGCCCTGGTCTTGACTCCACTCTTAGCTGGAAAGCTGAAGACCTAGTGGGTACACGCCCTCCCCTCGCCCCCACAAGTGCAGGGGTGATTACCACAAGAACAAGAGACAAGTGCAGGCTTTCGGCCTCTCCCAACTGACATGAGCCCAGCCGCCTGTGTCCAGGTTGAAGCCCTCTAGTCATTTGGTCCATTCTCAAGGGGCAGATAAGGAAGCTGGGTATCAGAGGAGGAGGAACTTGCTCAAGGCCACACAGCATATACATGGTGGACTTTCCCAGTGCCACCTTAAGGTAAAGATCATGTACCAGCACTTGCAGTTGTCTTGGAGGTCTCACTTGATGAATCCTCAGCACAGAGCCCCAGTGCCTGTTAGAATGGGTCCACTGCAGGCTTTGCTTATCAATGAAACAATTAATGGAAGGGTACCGTTTTATTTAAAACCACCTGAAACACTCTTTTCATACCTAAAGAAACCACTCAGTTTTGTCTGGGGCATTTTGAGACAGGGTCTCAATGTAGCTCAGGCTGGCCTCCAATTCAATATAAAGTCGAGGATGACTTTGAACTCCTGATTCTTCGGCCTGCTTCTCCCAAGTGCTGTGATTACAGGGATTGTATCATGATATCTGACTCTCCTTGGTATTTTAAAATTTTATTTATTGCTTTTATTTTATGTGTGTGAGTGTATTGCCTGCATGTATGAAAGTGCACCCGTGTCATACAAAGTCAGCGGCGAGGTCAAAAGTGGGCGTTGGAGTCCCCTGGAACGAGTTACAGATGGTTCTTTGCTGCCACGTGGGTGCTGGGAATCTCTTCGGGTCCTTTGCAAGAGTAGCCCGTACTCTTAACTGTTGAGCCAACTCTCCAGTCCCAGTATTATTATTTTTTTTTTAATGAGAAAAAGTGTGTGTCTGGATTAAGAGTTGTATTTTAATATTTTAAAGAACAAAGTAAAAATAAGTACCTTGTGTGTTTCAGATACAGGGCGAACCGGGGAGGGCGGGAGGAGGGACACACTGCTCACGCTCACTCTTTCCCTCTGGTTTGACGCTGCCTCATATTTTCTGCCCATCTACATCTGGTTCTGCAGGGCCTTTATTGTCCTTTGCTGGAGCCTAAGCTCACATTCCCAGAAAAGGAGAATTCTCCCTTCTAAGGTTTCTTTTAAGCTCCAGTGACCCATGCCTCCCTTAGTAAATTTCCACTTCAAAGACAACATTCCCTTCCCTTGTAGTTCTCCTTTTCTGGATTGTTCTTTAGTGTGTGTAAGTTAATAACACCTTCTTTTAGCTGCCTAGCATGTTCAAGCTTCTAATTCATTGCTAGGTAAAAGCTCAATCTGTCTTGATCCTAAATGACAGACAAGGTATTTTAGATACAAACAAAAGTAATTGTTTTTAAAAGAAACATAAGTCTCAAGTAAATGTCTTATCCTGCTCACCCTGAGGTTACACGGTGTTTGCTGTCATATTTTCTATAAATACACACTCCCCTTTCCCTGGCCCTCCCTAGCTCTGTTAACGGTTTCCACACAGGGCAAATTTTCAACCACTTTTCATTGGACAGGGTGCTAAAGAGAGTCTACACTCCAGTCATACTTTCCACTCAAACACCTTGGATGATATTTCGTCCCCAAAGAGGAAGCAGACTCAATATGATCTAGATTTAGATTGTCTTGGTGGCGAAAGAATCACTCTGACCTTTGGTAACCGAACCCGGGCTCAGGCCCATTCTTACAAGAGTCACGGACTTAGGAGGCGTGTGCAGCCACACATGAAAATGCCCAGATTCACAGACTTTATTTTCAGATCTGAGGTCTTTAATCTAGTTTATGGCGTTTGGGAAATTGTTCCCGTCTGTGTGGAAAACATTCTTGCCTCTGTGCCATTCACCATGGGATGATTACTTCCATTTTCCTGAGATGGTAATCTCTGTCATCCTCCTGACTCTCCTGGTTTCAAGAATTTTCATTTCTTCAAGTCTCAGACCCAGAAAACTTTTCTCATGAAACTCCACGGTATCAAGACAGTGGCAGCAGAGGGGCTGGGGAGATGGCTTCACAGGTGAAGTACTTGTCCTGAAAGCAGAGGGCCCAAGTTCAAGTCCCAAAACCCACATAAAAAGCCTGGCATGGTCCTGTGCAAAGGCAAGCCCAGCATGGTAAGGGGCAGAGGCAGAAGGATCACTGGGCTTACTGGCTGCCAGCCCAGCTCTAGGTTCAGGGAGAGACCTTGTCTCAGGGAAATAAGGTGGAGCGTTGATAGGACAGGCCACCAATGCTGTCTCTAGCTTCCGTGTACATGCACGGACACACACACACACACACACACACACACACACACACACGTCCATCATGATGGTGCTTGTCTGTAATTCCAGCAAAGACAGAGGTGTCCCTGGGGCTCACTGGCGGACTAGTCAGCCATCTTTAATTGGGGAGACCCAGGTCCCAGTGGGATACCCTGTCTGAAAAAAATAGGGTGGACAGCTCCTAGGTAATGGTATCTAATGCTGACGTTGCCCTCTGGCTTCCATAGGCATGTGTGTGCGTACACACACACACACACACACACACACACACACACACACACACTACTGACAGCAGAGAATATCAGATACTAATTTCCCATGAAATGGATGATGGAGTAGTGGAGTAGACCCATCAGATGACAAGGACAGTCTTACAGGGTGAGGGGGCAGCAGATGGAAAGACAGGT